CCGCCCTGTTGTCCCAAGAAGCCCCCAACAGGCTCCCAGGGAGCTCCGCCAGGCCCCAAAAAACTCCTCATACGCCCCCAGGAAACCCCCGAGAGGTTCAAAGACTGCTTCCAAAACGCCCCCGAGACGCCTCCCACGAAACCCCGTCCGCCATCCGCGTGGCCTCCGACCCGCAGCCCAGGCCCGCTCGGTGACGGGATGCGCCGAAGGCTAGTCGATGATCGGTTTCTGGATTTTGAACATATGCCCGCCGTTAGTACACGTTGGTTCTCGCCAGTTCCACTGCGCGTGCACAGCGAACATTGGAAATGTCAGCCGCAAAAATAACTGCTGCCGATGCGGGCCGTGGGTCCCAGGGGCATTTGCGGCGAGCACGCGGCAGATTGTCCAAGAGGGCCCCGACACGCCGCACAGCCGGCTGCGAGACCCACACGACGGTTCCAAAACGTCCTTGGACGGATGCCCGCCGAATGCACGTGTGGGTTATCGACCGTTTCCCCGCTCTTTCTCTCGCACACCAAGACGGCCCAAACAGAGCGCCCACACAGTCCAAGACAGCGCCGAACTGGCCAAAGGTAGCCCAACGACGATCCCAAATGGCATCGACCCGCCCAAGACGGCCCAGGAATCAACCAAGGGTGTCGAAAACATGATTATTGTGTTGCTATGCGCACAAAAGAGAGGTACCGTTCTTAATGGAATCAGCACGGCCTGAAGACTAGCCGGCGGGCACCCCACTCCCGTTCCATCAGATCCTTCCCGCCTCCTGTCCCCTTCAACCACCTCCCCGACAAGCTTCTCATGAGCATCGTCCCGTCCAAGTTTGCGAGACGAGCGCAGTTCCTGCGACGAAGGGCGTCTCGCGGCCTTCACGAATCCAATAACTACGCCCGCAAACAGCCCTCTGAGTGCCAGTGGGTCAAGGCAGCCTCTCGTCCAAACCCCTTCTTCCCCTTCGGAAAATAATCTACAGACCCCTGCCGCGTATTCATAGACACCCGCCCCCTCGACCGATTCCAGACCCGAAGCAAAGACAACCCCCCCAACCCTCCTGGCCATCACAATACGTACAAGACATAGTGAACTCTGCGACAGAGCCTGGCTCGCCTTCGGGCGTCCCGCCCTCACTGTGACTTGGCCTGCTACACGACGGCAGGGGGCATCAGATTACCCTGTGTGTGTGGGCCCGCCATCCCTCTCAGAAAAACGCACTGCAGTGTGCACGTGGCGGCAACACCCCCCGACCCCTTGGGGTGTCCTCGGCGTGTGAGATGCATACCCCTCCCCCGACCCCTCCACCCAGACCCCGATCCAGTCGAATTGGAACGAGGGGGGCCCGCCCAGATCTCCCGGGCCCAGCCCCACCGCATCATGGGAGGACAGAGGCCCCCACAACGAGCCCATAAGCCCCAAGAGGCCCCCAAAATTGTCCGAGAGGGCCCCCCAGTCGCCGACGGCTCCTCCAGGACGACCAATTGGCCTCCAGACGGCCCAATGCGCCCACGACACGCCCCAAGACGCCTCCAAGAGCCCTCCCAAGAGGGCCCCACGAGCCAACACTCATTGATATTCAATCCGTTGTTGAAAAAAGTTTAGCGTTCTCGCCTTTTCGGTTTCCCGACGCTCCACGGCAGCCTGAGAGACTCCCAAGATCCCCCCAGACGACCCCAGAGGCCTCCAAGAGGGCCCCTAAACAGGCAAAGAGAGGCCCCACACGGCCCCAAAGACGGCCTCAGATGCCTCCAGCATGGCCCACAAGTGCTCCTGGACCGCCGCTAGAATGGCCCCGGAGGGGAACCCGAGTCAGCATGTCGAGCCCTCGGCCCCCGTGAGTCCTTGAGTACCCCCCATGAACCTCCAACAGGCCCCCATCGGGCCCGATGAAGCGCCCAAAAGGGCATCAAAAACCCCCCAAAGGAGTCCAGGAGGCTCGCAGGAGCAACCCACCGCAACCACCAGTTCTCCAAGGGGTCGGCGGTGTGGCGTAAGCCCAAGAACCCACGCCCGGACTGCAGCGAAGCGTCTCGGCAACCCGACAAGGCGGGCATATGACGCAAGGGCCTAGCAACAAGACGTCAAAGAAGGTTAAGTGCAAAGCATCACATCAATATACATTGCAAAACACCCCCCCGTAGTCCTCCCCTGGGACCGCACCGAGTCGCCGACCCAGTCGGACAACTTTACACAAAACAACAACAAAAAAAACAGATGCAGAATCAATGAGATTGGCCTCTTGGATCTCCTCGGCGTCCATTGGGGCCCCACGACGGCTCAAGATGGCTTCAAGCCAGCCCAGGACGGCCCCAAGACGGCTCAAGACGGCTGAGGTCAAAAACATTGATTTTCACTGGTTTCAATGCGTTTTTGGTCGTTCCCTCGCCTTTCCGGATTCTCGGGGCCCCGGCGGCCCAAGCTGCCTACAAGACGGCCTCAAACCGCCCAAGAGGCCCCCGAGAGATCCTCTAGGCGGCCCAATAAAACCCGATGATGGCCCTAGGAGGCCGCCCAGACGGCCCAAGAGGCCTCCAAGACGGCCCAAAAGCATCCCCAAAGCGCTTCAAAGCGACTCCGAGTGGCCCCCAAAGAGGGCCTCCGAAGGTGCCTGACAGCGCAAGAGCGCCCCCAGGCGGCCCAGCAAGCCTTCCAGCGGCCCGAAAAGGCCCCAAGAGGAACCCAGAGGCCGCCGAGAGGGCCCCCGAGGATCCCACGAAGAGTCCCCAGAGCGCTTCCAGAGGCAACAAAATACTTCCCATTAATTCTTGACAGATTCCACTGGCACCGACTTTTTGGACCCTTCGGATCCCATCACGACGCAAGCAGCACCCCAAGATGGTCCCCGTAGTGGCCTCGTGCAGCCCCCAGAACGGCCCCCCCCTGGGGCCCAAGTTCTGCTGCCTCTGACAGAGAGACGTCTTCTCGCTCCGCCTACCTCTTGCCCTGCTCGCACCTGTTCGCACAGGGTGAGCATTTCGAGCGGGACATGGCGCGAACTGTACAGCGGCGGTCCTGCGGCCGCGGCGTGCTCTTGCACGCGCTGCGTGGCGGGTAGAGGCACGCAGCGCACAGGTACCATGGCTCCAAGAGGGCCCAGGAGGCGCCCACGAGCGACCCCAGATGCCAAAAACATTGATCTCCCGTAAGTTGATGGAAGGTGTTTGGTGTTCTCGCAATTTGGGACCCTCGGCGGCCCATAACTGTCCAAGCAACATCCAAGGTGACCCCCAAACGGCCCAAGAAGGCCCCAAGACAGCACAATAACGCACAATAACGCCCCAATATTGCCAAAATTGCCCAAGAGAGACCCACAAGAAGGCCCAAAAACGGCATCCAAAGGGGCCAAACGGCGCAAGAGCGCCCCACTACGCCCCCAGACGCCCCCTGAGAGACCCCAACGAGGCCCCCAAGGAACCCCCAGAGGCCCCCAAGAAGCCTCTAAGAGGCCCCCAAGAGGCCCCCGAGGCCCCACAACAACTGAACTGTACGTGGCCCAGACGTGCACCCCGGAGCGCGAGATGAGAGAACATCCTCCTCCGCCTCCTCCTCCTCCTATCAGCAGCAGCATCATCAACCTCATCATCATCATCATCATCATCATCATCATCATCATCATCATCATCATCATCATCATCATCATCATCATCATCATCATCATCAGTATCATCATCATCATCATCATCATCATCATCATCATCATAATCATCATCATCATCATCATCAGCAGCAGCATCATCATCATCATCATCATCATCATCATCATCAGCATCAGCGTCAGCATCAGCATCAAAATCAGCATCATCACCATCATCATCACAGTAATCAGCAGCAGCATCATCAGCATCATCACCATCATCAGCATCATCATCATTACCATCATCATCACAGTAATCAGCATCAGCATCAGCATCATCAAGATCATCAGCATGATCAATAGCATCATCATCGTCATCACCATCATCAGCATCATCATCATCGTCAGCATCATCATCGTAATCGTGATCATCGTGATCATCGTCATCAGCAACAGCATCATCAACATCATCATCAGCAGCAGCGTCAGCATCAGCATCATCAGCATCATCAGCATCATCAGCATCAGCATCATCATCAGCAGCAGCATCAGCATAACCGTCATCACCACCAACATCATCAGCATCAACAGCATCAGCATCAGCATCATCACATCAGCATAATCACATCAGCATCATCAGCATCATCATCACCACCATCATCACCATCAGCAGCATCATCATCATCAGCATCAGCATCATCATCAGCATCGTCTTCATCATCATGAGCATCGTCAGCATCATCGTCATCATCATCGGCAGCATCTTAAGCAGCATCATCATCAACATCATCAGCATCTTCCTCCTCCTCCTCATCCTCCTCCTCATCATCATGATCAGCACCGTCATCATCATCATCATCATCACCATCAGCAGCAGCATCAGCATCAGCATCATCATCAGCATCAGCAGCATCATCAACATCACCATACTCATCATCATCGTCATCATCAGCAAAATTGGAATCATCATCATCAGCAGTCTCATCATCATCATCATCGTCATCATCATCGTCGTCATTATCATCATCAGCATCATCATCAGCATCATCACTATCATCATAATCCTCAACAACATCCTCATCATCATCCTCATCATGACCACCACCACCACCACCATCATCATCGTCAGCAGCAGCATCAGTATCAGCATCAGCATCAGCATCAGCATCAGCATCAGCATCAGCATCAGCATCAGCATCATAATCGGCACCAGCGTCAGCATCAGCATCATCATCACCACCACCACCATCATCATCAGAATCATCATCATCAACATCAGCATCAACATCAACATACTCATCCTTCATCATTCATCGTCCCCCCCGGAGCACCACCACACGGCCGCATCGGCCCGCCTCCGCATGGCCCCATGGGCCCGCCGCCCTCGCCTTGGGCGCCGCCCCACGACGGCCGCATGGGCCGCGCCACGATCTGCGGCGGGCCCCCGAACTGGCCGCCGGGCGCCGCCTGAGGGAGGACGCCGAACGCCCTCCGCCCTCCTCCATGATAGAGGCCTCCTAGATGGGGTCCGAGTAGGGTCGGAGGATCGCGCCACATCGGCGATGCATCAGCGACGTCGGCGGCGCATCGGCGACGCCAGTGCGGAGCAAGTCATGCTCCAGATCGAGCCGCATCAGCGATGCATCGGCAATGCGGCGCGATCATCCGACCCTATCCGATCGAAACACACCTGGGAGGTCTAGACATGTCCTCCACCCTCCTCCTCCCTTCTCCACCTGACATGCTCGCTCCGTGCAAAAAATCGCGACGGAAAGTGCTCGCCGTTCTTGACCTCTCTTGGCACTCCCGAGCCGGTTCTTGACGGTCCTGGGCCAGGACCTTCAAGAAACGGCTCGGGATTGAAGACCGCCCCTGGGGAATGGGTCGGATTTTTTGGGGTCCCCGTGTAAATAATCAAGACATCGGATATCTGGATACGCTACGCTGCCCTTCCCCGAGGCACCCAAGACGCTCCAAGAGGCCTCCTGGACCGCCAAGAGGCCCCCAAGACAACTCAAGAGGACTCCAAAAAGCTCTCCAGAGACATCCGACGAGACTCCGAGAGGCATCCTAGAGGCCTCTGGCCTTTCTGCCCGCCCTCCTGCTCCTCCTCTTCCTCATACGCCAAGTCCTGCTCCTCCTCCTCCTCCTACTCCTCCTCCTCCTCCTCTTCCTCCTCCTCTTCCTCCTCCATCTTTACCCTCTTGGGGTGTAACGGTTTCCCCAGCCCTTCATTCCACTGCATGCTACTCCACCTCCCTGATCAGGGCAATTCGCCTGGGCATCGTTTCTGGATGGACTGATGGGGTCCCCCTACAGACGGATTTGACGAAAAATCAAAGATAGCACAAAAAACAAATATTAAGAAAAGACTCAACATAATTCGTCCCCTGACTTGTTTTTACCTAACAGCGAAGACTGATAGGTTTCTAGTGGTCTCAAAAGAGAGCATCACGACTCCCCAAGGGGGTCTGGGCAGATGCCGGACGGGTGCCGCGGGAATCCGGGGACTCCTTTTTTAGCCAACAGTAACGCACTTCGTGGTCTTCGAGTTCCCAGAACTTCATTCCTGGGCATGAGTTTGAATGCCCGGAGCCAACTGTAGGCCACTTCGTGTTCTTCGAGTTCGAGTTCCCAGAACTCCATTCCTGGGCATGATTTTGAATGCCCGGAGCCAACTGTAGGCCACTTCGTGTTCTTCGAGTTCCCAGAACTCCATTCCTGGGCATGATTTTGAATGCCCGGAGCCAACTGTAGGCCACTTCGTGGTCTTCGAGTTCCCAGAACTCCATTCCTGGGCATGATTTTGAATGCCCGGAGCCAACTGTAGGCCACTTCGTGTTCTTCGAGTTCCCAGAACTCCATTCCCGGGCCACATTTTGAATGCTGAGGCAGGCTGATGCTGAGGCTGAGGCAGGCTGAGGCAGGCTGAGGCTGAGGCCGAGGCTGAAGGCAGAGGCTGAGGCTGAGCAGGCTGAGGCTGAGGCTGAGGCAGGCTGAGGCTGAGGCTGAGGCTGAGGCAGGCTGAGGCTGAGGCTGAGGCTGATGCAGGCTGAGGCTGAGGCAGGCTGAGGCTGAGGCCGAGGCTGAAGGCTGAGGCTGAGGCTGAAGCAGGCTGAGGCTGAGGCAGGCTGAGGCTGAGCTGAGGCAGGCTGATGCTGAGGCTGAGGCTGAGGCTGAGGCTGATGCAGGCTGAGGCTGAGGCAGGCTGAGGCTGAGGCCGAGGCTGAAGGCAGACTGAGGCTGAGGCTGAAGCAGGCTGAGGCTGAGGCTGAGGCAGGCTGAGGCTGAGGCTGAGGCAGGCTGAGGCTGAGGAGGCTGAGGCTGAGGCTGAGGCTGAGGCTGAGGCTGAGGCTGAGGCTGAGGCTGAGGCAGGCTGAGGCTGGCAGGCTGAGGCTGAGGCTGAGGCTGCAGGCTGATGCAGGCTGAGGCTGAGGCAGGCTGAGGCTGAGGCAGGCTGAGGCTGAGGCGAGGCTGAAGGCAGACTGAGGCTGAGGCTGAAGCAGGCTGAGGCTGAGGCTGAGGCAGGCTGAGGCTGAGGCTGAGGCAGGCTGATGCTGAGGCAGGCTGAGGCTGAGGCTGATGCAGGCTGAGGCTGAGGCAGGCTGAGGCTGAGGCCGAGGCTGAAGGCAGACTGAGGCTGAGGCTGAAGCAGGCTGAGGCTGAGGCTGAGGCTGAGGCTGAGGCTGAGGCTGAGGCTGAGGCTGATGCAGGCTGAGGCTGCAGGCTGAGGCTGAGGCTGAGGCTGAGGCTGAAGGCTGAGGCTGAGGCAGGCTGAGGCTGAGGCAGGCTGAGGCTGAGGCTGAGGCAGGCTGAGGCTGAGGCAGGCTGAGGCTGAGGCAGGCTGAGGCTGAGGCTGAGGCTGCAGGCTGAGGCTGCAGGCTGAGGCTGAGGCTGAGGCTGAGGCAGGCTGAGGCTGAGGCTGAGGCGAGGCTGAGGCAGGCTGAGGCTGAGGCTGAGGCTGAGGCTGAGGCTGAGGCTGAGGCTGAGGCTGAGGCTGAGGCTGAGGCTGAGGCTGAGGCTGAGGCAGGCTGATGCTGAGGCAGGCTGAGGCTGAGGCTGAGGCTGAGGCTGATGCAGGCTGAGGCTGAGGCAGGCTGAGGCTGAGGCTGAGGCAGGAGGCTGAGGCTGAAGAGGCTGAGGCTGAGGCTGAGGCAGGCTGAGGCTGAGGCAGGCTGAGGCTGAGGCCGAGGCTGAAGGCAGACTGAGGCTGAGGCTGAAGCAGGCTGAGGCTGAGGCTGAGGCAGGCTGAGGCTGAGGCTGAGGCAGGCTGATGCTGAGGCAGGCTGAGGCTGAGGCTGAGGCTGATGCAGGCTGAGGCTGAGGCAGGCTGAGGCTGAGGCCGAGGCTGAAGGCAGACTGAGGCTGAGGCTGAAGCAGGCTGAGGCTGAGGCTGAGGCAGGCTGAGGCTGAGGCAGGCTGAGGCTGAGGCTGAGGCAGGCTGAGGCTGAGGCTGTGACTGCGACTGCCGTTGCCACTGCGACTGTCATCTCGAATGCGACTACGACTGCGAGAACAACAGAATTCTCTAACTGGATTCTCATATATGCTTCCAGATACGCTCCTACACATCGCGGTTAGGTTGCTTTGCCGGGGTAATACTATGTTTGAATGTTCCTCCTGTAGAAGGACATGCCCGACTTAAAGTTACGCGAAGCGTCCAGAATGCTAAATGGCGCGTTAAAAATACATAGTTGTTCAGTTTCCACGTGCTTCCTGGTTGTTCTCAAAAAGGCTGCAGGCACAGTGTACCTGCAGCCGTACACATGTTCGTAAGAAGTACCTTCTAGTCAGAGAGCACTTGTTACAGCATCGTGTTGTCAGTGCAAGTCAAGGACGCTTTTCCGTTCGACGCCCCGCTGTTCTGTTCTCTGCAAGGCGCACGAACGCCTCACAGGCCACTCCCATGGATTTCCATCCACGTCGTCAGCAAATCCAGCAAACCAAACATCGAGCAACGTACTTATCGAGCCAACCAGAAGCCACTTTCCTTGATTCCGCCCCCGCTGGAGGGGGGAGGGTTGTCCTGGGGAGGGGGGGCCGCAAGGGGAGGGGGCGGGGGTCCCGCGGAGGATGGGGTGCAGGGCCCCTGGGCTTGCGACTCACCCTGGGGGGAGAGCCAGCCCCCTCTGGGGGAAATCCGGGAGCGTCGTCCTCGAGTCGAGGGGAAGCCCTTCCATTCAAATCCCTTCCCCGCTGAGGAGGAGGGCGCCGGCGCCAGGGGGCTGCCCCGGGGGGTGTCCCGCGGGGGTCCCACAGGGGGTCCCACGGGACTTCCCGGGGGGATGGGCCCAGGGGGGATTATCCCCCACAGGGGAAGCACCCCTCTCTTGGAAAAGCTTTCCCGTTCGACTTCTCCCCCTTAACGCTTTTCCGTCTGAGCCGTCGTCGTCCTCGTCCTTGTCGTCGTCGTCGTCGCCATCATCGCCGTCTCCGCTCTAAGTACCCTTTGCCCCTCCCATCCTCCGCCTCCTCCTCCTCCTCCTCCTCCTCCATATCCTCATCCTCCTCCTACTTCGTCTCCTCCTCTTCCTAGCGAACAGGGTCGGAGGTATCGGTCGCAGGGCCTTCAAAATCCGTCCACCCACCAAAATTGTTCAGTATGGATATGATTATCCTGTCTCCACTGACGATGGCCATGGATTGGAACGACCCCCTCCGCAAATGTACTGCCTTCCGCACACATAATTTGAAATGTTGTTATTTCGTATGGCTTGTTGCATTCGGAGCGTTTAACGTCTGGAAATGGTGCTCCCGCAACAGGGTTGGCCTCATTTCTGCATCGGTGCCTTGCCCCCATCGTTCAGAATGGCCCTCTCGCCTCATCGTGGGCGACATATACTTCCTCATCTCTGTCGCCCCGCTCCTTTCCCCTCCTAATCCTCTTCCCGCTTCTCCAACTCCACATCCTGCTTCTGCTGCTGTTCCTCCTCGTCCTCCTGCTTCCTCATCCTCCTCCCCTTCCTCCTGCTCATCCTACTCCTCCCACTCCTCTTTCTTATGAATAACTCCTCCCTGTCGCACCCCGAGGCCAGTCGGAAGGGCGGGCTGGGCGTTCCGCCTGAGACTTCCTTATCACCTATGAGCCTGAAGCTTAGAAACTGGCAACAGCATAATTAAGGGAGGGCGGGTGGTTTTCAACATGTGGCTCTGGCCTCAGCGCCGCGCACACTCGTCTTAAAAATTCGCAAGAGCTTCACGGCTTGAGGACAGATGGATTTCAAATGTGGCTCTCGCCTTGGCGCCGCGCACATTCGTTTTACAACAGTGCAAACAATTCACGGAATCAGGGCGGGTCGTTTTCAACATGTGGCTCGCCTTAGCGCCGCGCACATTCAAACGATTCAGGATTGTCAGGGCGCAACGGATACGTTGATTCGCAGTGTTGATATCCCAGAAACAGCGTTCTGGCACGATGCATGATCGCCAGGA